ACTGCCGCCTTGCTTTACCCTGCAAGCCGCTGCTGAGTGGTGTTTTTTTGTCTTTTTGCCCGGTTTCCCCCCCACCTTGCTCCTTGCCCAAGGTAGGGAAGCCCAGCAGGAGCAAGCACAACACGCTGCCCGGCGGCACCCTGCAGATCCGCTCCCTCGGCAAGGACGACCACGGCGAGTGGGAGTGCGTCGCCACCAACGTCGTCGCGAGCATTACTGCCAGCACCCACCTCACCGTCGTAGGTACGGGCAAGGGGGACAGGTCCTTGGGGGGATGATGGGGGTCAGCGAGGCAGGAGATGGGGATGCTTGAACCCATCTCTCCACAGGCACAAGCCCACACGCCCCGACCGGCGTGCACGTTGCGGTCGCCATGACCTCGGCCAACGTCTCCTGGGAGCCCGGCTACGACGGTGGATACGAGCAGACTTTCTCAGTTTGGTACGGCCCTCTGTGAGTCATCCTGGCATGCTTTGCTCTCTGCTTCTTTTCCTTCCTAGCCGACCCGAGCTTCGAGCAGCTCCCGGGGGGAAAGGGAGGAGGGTGGTGAGGGTGGTGTTGCCCGCGGGCGTTACAGGGCTCAGCTCCTGTCTGGTGCCTTGGAGAAGTGGGTGGTGGTGGGATCACGTAGGTCCTGTGTCTCCTCTCCTTTCTGTGCTAGCTGTCTGCCCCAGCAGGTTTTATTCTGCTTACGGTGCAAGGAGAGACGCTTTGCATCCGTGTGTCTTTGCCTCTGGCATCTACTTTCAAGATAAACTGTTTATGATGCTTAACAGCCAGGGAGAGGATGGAAAATGTAACCTTTATAGCTTGCGTCCTGGCAGAGCTGTGACTAAGCAGAAATGATCTCTCTTTGCTTGGTGGCTCCCTGGAGATGGGTAAATCCCAGCTGAGTTTGCAGCCAGCCTGCTGTGAGGGCCTGGTCTGAGCCTCCTGGGGCTTTGCTCCCATCACTGGTGTACCAGCCTCTCCTGTCTGGTACCCAAAAGCAGTGGGTGCATCCCACCTTCCCGCAACGGGGCCAGGCTTGACCCTGTCGGCTTCCCCCTTGGTCTATGGGGAGATGGGAAGAAGAAGAAATGGAAAGAGCAGAGAGGGGAGGAAAATGAGGAAGTGGTTGTAGACCTTGCTCTGACTAAAAACATTTTCCTCCCTGCCGTGGCTATGGGATGCTTGAGCAAAAGATGGCTTTGCTTCCTGCGGAGTTCATGCTCTCTTCCTGCTTCTATGATTGTCAGTGCTCCCCAGGGCCACTGCTGCCCCTCCATGTCCCCCTCTGTGCCTCCACTGTGGTGATGGGGCATCCTGGGAGCTGCAGACGCAGCCGGAGCCGCAGGGATACCAAGGCTTTCCTGCTGGTTTCATGGAGACACACGTGTGCATGGCTCTCCACCAACTCACTTGTCTCCATAGCTTGCTCCTGCTTCTGCCTCACCTTCCCCACTCTTCACAGCATCGTTATTTCTCTTAGCTCCATCTCTCCCTTGCCACTCGGTGGATTTACCTGCCTGCATGCTGGTGGCTATAGATATGCCCGCAGAATAGACCTTCTGCATAGCAATCCTTTCCAAATCCTCTGCGGACACCTCCAAAACCCGCAGCCGAGGGCTGGGACTCCCTCGAGCATCTCTAAGACCAGCATCGATACTTGCAGTAGTGCGATGCTGCTGCCTGGGGACATGGGGCTCTTGTCACCGTGGTGCTTCCCGGCATGGCTGTGGCTGCAGGCTCATATGGGGTGCTCCAGGAGCAGTTTTTGGCTTATAGACCCCTGCAAAAAGGCTATGTTTTGTACTTACTGCTCTGCCAGACCCTGAATTATGCCCTGGGCTGTGCTGGCAGCCCCTGGCAAAACCGGTGATTTAGTTAAATGTTGTCCTTGTCCCTGCTCAGGGGGAGCAAGGCAGAGGGGAGGACTGGTACCCGTGTCCGTGTGAGCTGGGAGATGCTGGTGTGGCATTTTGGGATGGTCCCCTGGGCCTGGCCACCCCCGTGCCAGCTCTTGGGTGGCGAGCGGCTGCCCCACGTCCATACACATCGCTGCTGTCCAACCAACCCATCGCTCGGGAAAGCTCCATTTTCGCTCGGGAAGTTATTGCTGCCTCTTGGTCCTCCCTGAGGATGCTCCCTTTTTCTCTCGGCAGGATGAAGAGAGCCCAGTTTGGCCCTCACGACTGGCTATCTCTCCCCGTGCCAGCTGGTTCCAGTTGGCTACTGGTGGATACCTTGGAACCGGAGACGGCTTACCAGTTCAGTGTCTTGGCTCAAAACAAGCTGGGTACCAGCTCCTTCAGTGAGGTGGTCACTGTGAACACTCTAGGTAGGTCCTCTGGGGGCACATGGTGGGGACAAGAAGGATTTTTGGGGAGGACGGAAAGGGATTCAGGGGGTGCATGGGGCCCTGTCTGATGGGGATGGAGATGGTGACCAGCAGCAGTAGTTTCCAGCTGTGTGGATGGTCCTGGGTGGAGCTTATAGACTTTGCTGGATGCATGAGACTCCTGAAAACCTCTCCTAAGAGGCAGTGTAGGAGAGCAGTGCTGTACCAGTCACCTTTCAGATCTTCCTGAAGCTCAGCTGGGGTCAGGAGGTATTAATAGAGCCCAAAATAACTCGCGTGTGGCTCAGAGCTGACGCAAAGGGCCTCGCGCTGGGACCTGCCTGAGGAAGCAGGAGGTTTTTTGCCCCTTTTCTTGGCGTCACTGCATTGTGCTTTTCGGAGAGCCGCTTTTATAGCTCTGAGATAAGAGAGCAAATGCCTGAGATGTGCCTTAAACTCTGGGAAGGTGGGAACTGCCACTGCCATGGTGGTCCATTGGCTACTGATGGGGGCACATGTGGGGAGAGCATCTTCCTGCGCCTCCCCTTGCCCCATCTCAAAGCTGTCCCTGTCCCATCTGCTCCATCTCCAGCATTCCCTGTAACAACTCCAGAGCCTCTGGTGTTGGTTACCCCACCGAGGTGCCTAACAGCCAACCGGACACAGCAAGGCGTCCTCTTGTCGTGGCTTCCTCCCGCCAACCACAGCTTCCCCATCGACCGCTACATCATGGAGTTCCGCGTTGCCGAGAGGTGGGAGATCTTGGATGATGGCATCCCGGGCTCCGAGAATGAGTTTTTTGCCAAGGACCTGTCCCAGGTAAGCAGTGGGGGCTGCCCACACCGTACCTCTGCAGCTCAGGGGGTGTTTTTAGGGTGGTTCTGTCCCCATGCTGGGGTTTTCAAGGGGCTGGGCAAGGATGGAGGCTGCGGTTTGGGACCTGACAGATCTGTTTGGTGTTTCAGGACACCTGGTACGAGTTCCGGGTCCTGGCGGTCATGCAGGATCTCATCAGCGAACCCAGCAACGTTGCCGGCGTTTCCAGTACAGGTAAGGGGTGGTTTTTTTTTTCTTCTACCCCCAGCTTTGGGAGCATCTCTGCTTTTTGGTGCTTTTTGCCTGAGATGCTCAATCTGTGAGCTGGGCTGGTGGGTTATGATGGACACGCTGCTGGCCCAGTACAAATGGACCAGTGGCACTGGGAGCAGGCAAGGACAAACTGCCCCCTTTAGTGTTTTTGGGAGTGGCAGTGCATCTCAGCTCTGCGGGGTGCCCGGAGAACAAAGCTGTGACCGGGCACTGCGCAGCCTGGAAATGGGAATGAAAGGTGCAGAGAGGGAAATGTAGCACTGCAGTGCAGAGCCCAAGGGGGGAAAAAAGCTCTGCAACAGGAGACTGCAATGCGCTGCAGCATGCATACAAACCCAGCACCTCGGTCCAGCTTGCAGGATGCTCCTCAAAGCGAGGGATGGCTGAAGCCGTGGGGTTGCAAGGGGGAAAGCGAGGGGCAGCAGGAGGTGATGGGGGATGCGGCGAACCCTGCTTTTAATGGCTTTTGTGGAAAAAGCGAGGAGCCTCCCAGCTCAGCTGCACCCAGCAATGCAGCGGTCTCTCTCTGCCCCCAAGTGGTGCCTGCTGCAGGCTGCCTGCGCTCTTCTCGCACCATTTTTCTTATGGGTTTTGGCAGTGCACGCCCTGTGTGTGCCCTGGCCCCAGGCAGCTGCCCCCCAGGCTGAAAGACGGTGCCTTTGGCAGGCGAAGGTGCAAATTTGGGTGTGTTCATGAGAGCTGGGAGCCCAGTTTTCATTGAAAAGCTGTAACGTGGCACTGACAAGCAGGGTAAAATACTTTGCGCAGCCGCAGCAGGTTTATCCATCTGCGAGGTACCTGCAGGTTTGGTGCAGCTGTGTGTGCTTGTGCATAAATGTGCGCAGCAGCGCTGGCTGATCTCCACAGCTGGGAAGCAGGGTCTTTACTTCCAGGTTGTCACTCCCCAGGAATGAGAGAGGTGCCTTGCACTGAGATAGCTTTACCTTTCATGTCGTGGTGGGTCCCCAGGGAAAGCAGCAGGCCCAGGGGTGCATTCATAACACCTGAGGCTCGGTTTGTGTTTCCCCCAGACGTATTCCCTCCGCCTGACGTGACGGACGAGGGTCTAGCCCGCCCGGTGCTGGCTGGCATCGTTGCCACCATCTGCTTCCTGGCTGCTGCCATCCTCTTCAGCACACTCGCCGCCTGCTTCGTCAACAAGCAACGCAAACGCAAGCTCAAGCGCAAGAAAGGTGAGCCCCTGTGCTTCCTCCCTCCCTCCTCCTCCTCCTCCTCGTTTCCCTTCCCTGTCTGTGTCGTGGTGGTAACCTTCTTCCCTGTCTGTCTCTTCTTCCGTCCGTGCGCGTCCTCAGGTGAAGCCCTGACTTCCTCCTCCCTCGGCAGTGCCTGAAAAGTGCCCGTGGTTGGGAGCGGGAGAGGCAGGGTGGGTGAAGAGGTGACAGAGAAACTAGCCTGGGATTTTGGAGGGAGCGTTCTCGTGGGTGATAACTCCTAGAGATGCGGGTTTAGGGCTGGGGTGTCCTCTGGGACAGAGATGAGGGGGGACTCCTTACCTCCCCGAGGTCCAGCTCCTTCCTGCCCAGTGCAGAGCGGGCAGTGCCAGGCTAGAGAAGACCCCTGCAAAGGAGACCTTGCTGCTCTGCATCCCAAAATTTGGGACTGTAGCCACCATGCAGGAGCATCCCATAGGGAGAAGGGAGCTGGAGAGAGGGCTGGGGAATCGGCTCCTTCTCCTCTGCGGCAGCAGCACGGGCAGGACCCTGTGACGGGAGCTGTTTGTTGTCATTAAAGCATTGGAGCAATGAAACCTTGGCCTCTCGTTGAGTGTCTTTTGTTGTCTTGACGTTGAGTCTGTCTTGTCTCTGTCGTCTTGCGCCTCCTTAGCGTTCTCTCTCTTCTTTCCCCTTTTTATTCTCTTCCAGACCCTCCTCTCTCGATAACCCACTGCAGGAAGAGTTTGGAGTCCCCGTAAGTATCTGTTTGAGATGCAGCACCAGGTCTTCAAGGTGCCTCCTTCCTACAGTTGTTGCAAGGCTCAAATGGAAATATCTGACCTTGTTCGGTTGTTTCTGACGGGTTGTTTCGCGTGTTCCCTGAATCTGTGGGAACGCAATGGTTCACAAGGGACAAATGGGCTTTGGAGCAGAAAGCAGCAGGGACAAACGCAGCGAAATTTAAGTTAAGAGATGACCCCATTGGATCTGTGGCCATTGGCCAAAGCTGGAGTTGGCTGGTGGGACTCCATTACACACCCAGCTTGAAGGGGCTCCTTAGGAGGAGGGCTAGCCTGCTGCGTACATGCAAGCTCGGTGTAGTTTTGGAGTCATTCTTTGGCTCTGTTTTTTTTCTTGGGAAATTCGGAGAACCTTACACACATATCTTTTCTTTTCCCACGAAGAGTGCCCCGCTGAAGCCTCTTTCCACGCGAGCCCAAAGGTGGTGGATCGTGGTGCTTGCAGAGCCCCTCAAAAGCATGTATAGCTGCTAAGCAGTGGGAGCATCTTCCCAATGTGGGACCCTGGGAGTCTGTAATGTGGATGGCTCGTGCTTTGGCTCCAGGTCCATTGCAAAATGTCCCGGTGCTGGTGGAGCTTAATCTCGCTTTTCTTGGTTCGTTCTCTGCTCTGAAATAACCGTGCCTGCACTGTCTCTGTTGGATCTGCTACCTTTTGCCCTGCAATGCTCTTTGAGGCTTTCTGGATAGGGATGAGTGAACTATTCTGATGTTCTCTCCGCCTTTGAGGCGCTCAGCCTTAAATTTGAGTGTTGAGAGCAGGGGAAAAGTTGGTTTGGAGCAATCCGTCGGCATCTCCAAGCGAGATGCTGATGTTTGTCAGGCAAACGTCCCCTTCCTGGGCACGGATAGCTCGGATAAACAGAGGAAAATTTGGAAGTGAGCTCTGGATCTTGTCTTTAACCCTGCTGGGGCCATGGAGCTTGTTGCAAGGCATTGGTGGAGCTTGTTGCAAGGCGTTGGTGTGAGCTGCCTGCCCTGGGGCGGGGGGGAAGCCGAAAGTGCTGAACTCCACTCCTGAGGAGTGAGGTTGATGTGTGCTGCTGCTGTGGCCGGGCAAGGCTCTGCCGTCCTGGTTACCCCCCAGATTTTCCCCACTGTTTGAGAGCTGGTAGCACTTTGTTTTCTGGATCTGGCTGGCAGTTCTTCTGGGCGAGAAGACCCTTCCTCTCCGGGTGACCGACTCCTCTCTCGGTTTATCTCCCCTGTGGTCCAGGTTGTCTTCCGGCAAGGTGAGTCCCGAGAGCATCCGCACGCTCCGTCCCCCCTCAGAGTCCTCTGACGACCAAGGCCCGCAGGCCAAGCGGATGCTGAGCCCCACCAAGGAGAAGGAACTCTCCCTTTACAAGAAGACCAAGCG